ATTATACAGTAAACAACAGTAAAAATAATTTCAGTGAAGATATTTAGAAGTAAATGAAGTTTTAATTGGGATGCTTTCATAGCTACCCTATATTCAGTTCTGTAATCAAAAAGGTGCATGTACATGCAATTATGTTTTATGTAAGAGTAAAGTTGTTGCTAACTGTTATCTTAAATGGAATTTTCATTCTAAAAATTGCAGTAAAAATTAAACCAGGCATTGTTTTTTTCTCTTTTATTTCCTCATATGGGTCCCAAGTGGGTTTCTAGAAGCTGTTTTTCCTTCTGATAATAAGGCAAGCTCTTATTGTTGGTTTCAATTCCCCATAGATGACAAAAATTAAAAACACATAGAGCTTCACTTCAGCACATTTAATAAAAATTAATGAAAGATGAACGGTGTCAGGAGTCCTTGAAAGAAATATATCACATGACCTACTTTTAAGGCCTGTTAAAACTATTTAATATTTGCTAAGTATGCTTATTTCTCCAATTATCTGCTAATTACATGGGTTTTAAAAGCTATCTATTTGTTAAGTTATGGCTACTTACAGAAATAGTCTAAACAACACTGTTCAAGTATGCCTCCTGAGACAAAAAAAAAAAAAATAAAAATTGTGCATTGTATTAAACATGATTGCAAATATATTGGCATTTATTAATAGAAGTGATCATCATGTAAAATTTTTATGGGTGAATTATCTGCAAAAAATGGCCCAATGAATGGATTAGTTTTGCATCAGTAATGCAGAATTGTTACTTGTAGTCAGCTCCTATATTTGGAGTAGAACTGTGTATTTCTGTATCTTGCTCTCCCCTCTGTTCCCAGCTCGGTAAGTGTCATGTTGCCTGTCACCTGGGTGGACATTCTTTTCAGCAGCCATGTAGGGTTCTTTAACAGGAAGGTTAAATTGAGGGAATTAGAGGGAATCAGAGCCACATTTCACATGTTAATAAAAGATACCTGATTGAATAGCAATATTCTGAGTTCATTGTCCATGTGAAGCTTTCACATGAGCTGTTGGTACCTGAGGTGTGTTGTGTCAGATCAGCAGAACGTGAGCTGATTTACTTTGATTTACTTCAACCAAATGTGTCCATGTGTGTGCATCTGGCAGAGGTGACTTTCTGAGTGACCTTTTGTCCTAATGCTTGCAGTGTGAACATGACAATTCCTGCATTTCTGGAAGTTGTGTGAAGTGACACTGTGCCATGCAGCAGCCAAAGCAGAGTTATTTCAGAATAATGTGTCAGCTGCTGAATGAGGTGTGTGCACACATTCATTGCCTGTCCCACACGGTGTCTGTGCTGGATATTCTGCTTCCATTGCCCAGGCCTGTGTTCTCTGCCATGATGGTAACTTTGTTTCTTCTTTGTTTCTGTTCTGGGCCAGAGGAAGACCCTTCTGATGGAGGATCACCAGGCTGTTTGGTGTGGTTCCATTTCTTTCCCTGTGTCTCAGTAGCCTGTAGGTGAGTGTCTCTGGTCTGTCTTTGCCAGTTTTATGCTGATGTTCTTTGTGCTTCCATTCATCGAAATTAAATTCTGCTGGTTAGCTGCCATGAGCCTTCCCAGTCACTCTTCTCAAAACAGACAGTTTAAGCATATTCTGTTCAAAAGCATGAAGGGTGTGGACATCCTCTGTTTACCTTTTTTTCTGTCCCATTAATGCTGGTCCATGAAGAGGAGCCACGTGTAATTGGTTCAGAAAAGAGCTG